CCATCCAAATACTTCATCCAACCGTTTATTCACACCACTCTACAGCACTTAGAACCAAGCCTTCCTCTTTCAGTCTCCTGCCCCCTATGTCCCATGGGGATGGGCAACAGAATCACTCAGTCCCACAAGGACTTGGTAGCAAGACCCTCCCTCCCAGCCCTCTCCTCTTTCTCACATGAGGGAAGCAAGAATTCCCCAGCCACATACAGGCCCCACTTCAAGTACTAAACTATATAAAAGTTCCTGGTCCATACAAAGCAGTGGTGGGATTCAAATAATTTAATAACCGGTTCTCTGCCCTAATGACCATCTGGGTAGGTGGGGCTCGGTGGTCATGTGACTGGGTCGGCGTGGCCAACTCAAGGTCACTCAGGTCGATGGGCACTTCACCTTAGCTGTTACAATGTAATAAGGGTTAACCAGAGAGGCAGTTTCTGTAAGCAGGTCAATAAAGATTAGGCTAGAAACAACACTAGAATGTTTCCTTCCTGCCTTCCTTACAGGATTAGCCCTGTAAAGTGGGGAAAAACAAAAGGAGATTTCTTCCAACAATCGGTTTTCTGAACTACTTAGAAAGTTACCAACCGGTTCTTCCAAATAGGTGCGAACTGGCTGAATTCCACCACTGATAGAAAGGTTCTTAAATCCAGGTGCCAGTAACTCTAGGCCCAGGTCTCCAAACAGGCAAAGGAATGCACTGAAATGTCTGCTTTCTCAGGTGGCTGAAGCTTCAAGACACAAGGCAGTTCCCCATCTGCTACTTTGGTACTTCTGTCATTGCCGCAAAGCTGATGGCCACCTGATTCCTCCATTCCATGGGGATTCCAAGATGGAGGACAGGATCTAAGCCCCTAGCCTGTCACCGCTTGCTCTGTCATGCCGTTGCATCCTCTGGAGTCCATTCTGCACTGCCTTTCAGCTTGGGCAAAGGCAGTTGACACACAACACTTCTGAGCTCTGCTGCTTGCTGCTCACCAAGGAACCTTTGCAATGGAGGAGCCACCACTTGACACAGTCCCATTCAGCTACTACCCAGGGAAACATTGACAGGGCTCCCTCGGCCCCTTCCAACTGCTTTTTCTGCTGCTATCATGCTATCTACCTTCACTGCTGCTTGCTTTCCCCTTTTTTCCTGCTGGCCCAGATAACGGGTACTGTTATATGATTGGTCACCCAACGAACCAACCAGGACCACCAAACACCTCCACAAATCATCCAAATCCTCCTCAAAATTTCCAACAAAGTGATCTCATCAATAGGCATCCATCTCATTGCCATTAGGGAGTGGGGGGAGGGGGAGGTGGAGGTATATTTGTTTGTGTCTAATCTATTACGCAGACATAGCAATTGCATTTTGTTATTTCAGGTTTAGAGTTCAATATATTGTATCAATCCAGCCATTTTTATCTGTTTTAAAGCAACGTTCCTTTTCTTCTCTAAAGAAGTAACACTTGAAAACAACGAATCAAAGGGAAACCCCCCTCCCTCCTGTAACAGGTAGTATAAATGCCAGTGTGAGAGAAGGTGTGAGGATTTAAGGAAATTCTGCAGTCTTTCTGTCAGGATGTTAAACTTATTACAAAAAATATTGTACATTAAAAATAGCAACAACAAGGTTTTAAAAAACATGTTTCTACAATATGTTGTAAAACATGGATAGTGCAAACCTGAATAATAAGCATGGAACAGAACTCATCTGATTGTGTTCTACTCAGTGTGTAGAAAGAACATAGTGTTGGATTCTCCAAACTCAGTAGAAACATCAGTAGTGAAGCGTATTCTCCTTAAAGCCGGCCACTCACTATGACTAACAGGGTGCAGTGCAGTGGTGGGATTCAATTTTTTTTACTACCGGTTCTGTGGCATGGCTTGGTGGGCATGGCAGGGGAAGGATACTGTTCAATCTCCATTCCCTCCCTACTCCAGGGAAAGGAGATTGCAAAATCCCCATTTCATCCGCTGGGACTCGGGAGGCAGAAAATAGATGGGGGTGGGGCCGGGTATTTACCAGTTCTCCAAACTACTCAAAATTTCTGCTACGGTTCTCCAGAACTGGTCAGAACCTGCTGAATGCTACCTCTGGTGGATTGTACCAACCAATCTGATGAGTCCTGGAGTTTACCAATAAAGGTAAAGACTTCCTCAGGGAGTCTTGACTACTAACCAAATAGACAAATTCATATAGTTTTGTTGACAACATCAGAAAACAGATTTGCTATTGCAACCACTTCTATTATATATTTTTAAACATTCGGATTAGCATTCTGACCTGGAATTTCTTCTTGGTCATATTTTATCCAACTATTAACCAAATGTAACCTTGCTTTTTTTTTTTTTTTGGTCAGACAGATCAATCTAAATAGCAATAGCACTTAGACTTATATATCACTTCAGAATGCTTTACAGCCCTCTCTAAGTAGTTTACAGAGTCAGCATATTGCCCCCATCAGGGTTCTCTTTTTACTGACCTTAGAAGGATGTCAGGATGAATCAACCTTGAGCCAGTGAGAATGAAACTGTTGGCAGTCAGCAGAATTAGCCTGCAGTATTGCATTCTAACCACTACGCTACCACGGTTCTTAAATGCTGCATATATATTGTGGCATACCCCAGTGATGGGATTCAAATTTTTTTACTACCGGTTCTGTGGGTGTGGATTGGTGGGTGTGGCTTGGTGAGCATGGCAGAGGAAGGATACTCTAAAATCTCCATTCCCTCCCCATTCCAGGAGAAGGTTACTGCAAAATCCCCATTCCCTCCCGATCAGCTGGGAGTCAGGAGGCAGAGAATAGATGGGGGAAGGGCCAGTCAGAGGTGGTATTTACCTGTTCTATTAAGTGCTCAAAATTTCCGCTACTGGTTCTCCAGAACCTGCTGAATGCCACCTCTGGCATACCCCCTATATGTGGTCTTTAAATGTTTATCTCACATGTGATTCCTCATTTTGTTAAAAACCTGAATTCCACCATAAAAGAAACTTTTCCAGTTTCAGATTTGAATGCCCTCTGTATGCTATGTTTGTATACATGACCATTGAGAACCATTGATTTAAGCCTTTTGGCATAATCTACATGAATCACCTTGAATTCTGCATGCATTACTTCACTGTTTAAATGCAACTTGAAATTTTGCCTTTGTTAATTGTTAGGGCTGAACACCCTTCAACATTTATTCAGGAGTGTTTTGGACTTCATGCAAGCACTGCACCTCTCGGCTGTTCTTCAACGCATCCTGAACTTTTTCAGGCTTTAATGAATCAAGTCATTAAAAATGATTTAATTGATACTTAAAGCAGCAGCATCTTTATTCAGGCTCCGATGGAAGCCTGAAAAAAGACGCACATGCTCTATTGAATAGCAGAGAAGTGATGTGCTCGCATGAGGTCAGTTTTTCTTAATCATATTTAAATGGCCACAGCCGTATTAACCATTATTAGTTAACAACAAATAATGAATGAGATTGTCAGTAGCAGAACACTCAGTCACTTAGGAAATGACACAGATCAACATCTTCATTCAGCGACTTCTCGTGGGATTTACAAGTGATTCAGAAAGTGTATGTAATGTAATAGAAGGCAAGAAAAGTCAAACTATCACTCAAAAGTAGGAATAGAGATTGATCACGGGATGTAGCAGCTTTATGAAATCAGTTGTGGATGTCTCCAGAGGATGAGCAAAGTGATAAATTTATAGAAAACTCACAATCAACAACACATGGCTTGCTCCTGAAAGTAGTGGGAATCCCAAGGGAAAATTCTGAACTCTTTCTCTTCCACCTTAGACTTATACAGAGGTCTAACTATACAGCCCTGCATGCTTGTAGCTATTAATTGCAAATATTTATATCTAAGAGTTCAGAGAAATGATCTTGGGCTTTGGTTTTTTTTCTCTTCTAAGAGAAGAAAAAAAAATCCATGGGATCTCCAGGAATTATCTAATAACAATCTTTTGAGTGATCTTCCTCTTCCCGTCCTAAAGGCTTTGCTGCTGAAATGGGCTACAATAAATAGAATGGAATGGAATAGAATAGAAAACAGAGTTGGAAGGGACCTTGGAGGTCTTCTAGTCCAACCCCCTGATTAGGCAAGAAATTCTACACCACTTCAAATAAATGGTTATCCAATATATATTTTAAAAACCTTCCAGTTTTGTAGCATTCACAACTTCCGGAGGCAAGTTGTTCCATTGATTAATTGTTCTAATTGTCAGGAAATTAGTTCTAAGTTGCTTCTCTCCTTGATTAGTTTCCATCCATTTCTTCTTGTCCTGCCCTCAGGTGCTTTGGAGAATAGCTTGACTCCCTCTTCTTTGTGGCAGCCCCTGAAATATTGGAACACTGCTATCATGTCTCCTTCAATCCAGACTTCAGATGGTATTTCATCAGTGTATACTCATCCCCAGAGTAGCTAGACTTGCTGATTGAGTACATTATAACATTAAATCATCATTATCCAGTGCATTTCAAATACATGGAAATTGAGATATAACAACAGGACCATCTGAATGGGTCAAAAAAGTCAAAATGGCATTATGACCACAGGCCCTTTTTAATTTGTGTTATACAGATTCAAATAGATTGACTTGTCTGATTTTGGCATAATGTTCTGTCAAATATGTTAAACCCTGTCAATTGAGAATTATTCAGCAAAACATAATTAAAGCAACTATAGCTCAGTGCAATACATGAATCATGTGTCAAAGGAATGTGGTGGAAACATCCATCACTAAACCTAACTTTTTAAAAAATGCTAGAGAGAGAGAAAGAGACAGCCATAAAATGATTGATAAAGTGATGGGAGTGAGTTAGGATCCCATCAATTGTAGTGTCATCCTGACCTCTCACTCTTTTTCATCTCACAACAGTTGCCACCGATTTAACTGCATTAGTGTCATGAAATAACTTATCAGCCTTAATCTGCAACAATGCCACTTAAAAGAGAAATTTGAAGCTGACTTCCAAGATCTTGGAGCTACACTGATATGATTTAACTTTTTATTCAGTATCAGGACCCTTTGGAGGATGGTTCTCTGGTGTAGATTAGCTTGGAAGTCTCAAAGCTTTTTGATGAAAATGGAAATAGCGCTCTTCAGCTGCTTTATCTGAATGGTAGGACAGGAGACCAAAAGTCTGTAGCACAGAGGTGAGAGAAATTGTGATTCAAAATCTTGCTCCACCAGCTGGATTTCCCCCTCCAAATAAATGTATATGTATATGTGAATGTGTGTGTGTGTATGTGTGCATGTATGTATGTATGTATGTATGTATGTATGTATGTATGTATGTATGTATGTATGTATATGGATTAATATAGATATCTTTCCTGCATATCATAACCCAAAGCCATGCTTCTGAATGTTGATATACACTATATTCTGAGAAATAGAAAATTCAGGGAGGAAAGTAGAATATTTCCCCATCGGAGCAAAGTTTGACCTCTGCAATCTATTCCCAATAAATTTTGGTATCCAAGGTCTTTTTTTTAAATCTTAAAGATGTTATTTATTTAAACTTTTCTATGGCAGAGTGGGTATGATGAGGATACATGTAATGTTTATGGACACTGTGTGTGAATTCAGCACAAAAAGAGATAAAGTCTTAAAATAGCATCTTCATCACAGGCCACCAAACAAGGACCTGTCTGGCAATAACATTCTTCTAGACCAATGGCTCCGAGTGCTACCAATCATATCTTTTCACTCTTAAGCATTTTTTTTGTAATGTAAGAAAAATAAAGAATGGAAAAACAAAAGTAGGATTGCAGGTAGGCGATGAGAGTTTTGATCTTGATTTCCTCACCCAGTGCTCTAAAACAGTTCTCTGAAAGGGAAAGAACAATTGCAAATCACAAGGCATGCCCTATATTGTTTGGAATTGCTCCCATCTCAGTGGGATGGAGAAAATGGCATTTAAAAAATGTAGCCAAAGCTGTCAGGTCCTGGACAGATACCTTCAAACTGAAGAGAAGCCTAGACTCAATTTTTATGGCTGATTTCTCCTCAGAAATTAGTTACTGCAACAGAACTTCATTTCTGAATGTCCCATGCAATTTATTTTACTATAACCCTCCATGCTATGAGAGAGAAATATTTTGTAAGTTGAGAACATATTTAAAGCATATTTCTCAATCAATAAAATGTTGAGATCCTTGACATACACACTTCCAAGTCAACATGATGGTCAATGATCTTTCAATGGCTCAGAATCTAGACAAAATCTTTTATCCTATGCAGCTATCACCTGCATAATGGCTAACCAGACCTAGTCCCAATATCTATAGGGAAGTGTTTCTCAACTTGGCAACTTAAAAAATGTGTGGACTTCAACACTCAGAATTCCTCAGCCAACATGCTGGCTGGGGAATTCTGGGAACTGAACTCTACACATCTCACCAAAGTTGAGAAGCACAGCTATAGAGACAAGGTCTCTTTCCTCTAGTTATTTTAGACTGAGATGTCTGTGAGAAGATGGCCTGCACTTCCTTTACTAAACCGAAGAGGGCAGGCTTAGCACACACTGATGCAATTGATAGACTGCAGGAGAGATGGAAGCAGGGAGTTTAGCCCATCAGTATGGGCAGTTGGGGGATAATAGTTTGTTTCCTTCAAAACAGTTCCCCTGCTGCAACTATTTCAGGAATTTCCTGGTTTCTGAATTTTTATCCAGGCTATGCCAAGATCTGTAAAGAGTCTGAGAACCATGGCTAGTAGTCAATTCCTGAAACAAACATAATCATTAGCAAGTCCTGGAAGTCATTTGAACAATCAACCAATATTGTTATGAACTAACAACACCACAGGAGACGCTCCTTCTGCTATCATTGTCGAAAATCACTAAAGGAAGGGAGACACTCTGGATGGTACTGAGTTGCTAATCCTTTCTCAGTCCTGTGGCAGTCCATGTCCTTGGGTTAGATCTGTATAGGGAATGCATGCACTTTGGAACATTTCCTCCTCATTATTTATGACACTGTGCTCTGAAATGCTGAGGGGGAGAGAAAAATGACAGTCACTTACTTACCCAAGTCAGCAGCATTAAGGAATCTACAGCTTAATAAGGATAGCACCAATAAAGCACAGGCAGCTGATATATTTGCCACCATTTCTTGGCCTGTCATCCCAGTTATGGCCAGACTCTGGTGCCAAATTCCCAAGTAATTTCCAGATTTGATCTCTCCTAAATGCCAGGTACTCTGATTTATTAGTTCAGCACAAATCATAGCTCTTTAAGAAATTATAATACAATATAGTAAGGTATAGTATAGTATTAGTATTAGTATAAGTATTCAGTGACATGTGGTGAGGTTTATAGCGGCGGGTGAGGCACTGACACAGGGGTTTCAAATTTTTTTAGACTTGTGGACTTCAACTCCCAGAATTCCACAGCCCGGCATACTCAGTTCCGATTTAAAGCGACAGCATTTTCCCCCCTTGTGAAATAAGTTTTTCTTCATTCTTTTTCTTCTCCCTCCCCCTCCTTCCTCCCTCTCTCCCTCCCTCCCCCCTCTCTCAAACAGACACATGCACACAGAGAAGTTGGATCCCTCTCTCACTCACTCTCAAACAAACACAAAGTTGGATTGGATATATTTTCCAATGGCTTGAAAGCAGTTCCTCTGCCATACCCCCCCCCATTCCCCTGCTGCCTTTCGATCTGAGCC